CCTCCCCTCCCTGCGGCCGCTGCGCCCACCGGACTGCGGGCTGGACCGGCCCGCCGCCGCCCTCGTGATTTATCTGGATTTTTAATTGGAAAAAATTTGCGAATTAATTGATTTCAGGAACTTGCCAATTAACATTGTAATTGGGTGCGTGATAAATTCCCAAGGAGCGTGTCAGCTCCCTCCGGGCTGAGGGCCGTGGCATCCGGTAGCGCGGGGAGGGCGCCGGCCGCGGTTGCCCTTGCCCCGCCCCTGGCCGCTCTCTGGGAGGAGAGAGGGGGGCCGGGGAGGCTGGGAGAAAACGCGGCACCCGGGTTCTGGAGACCACTCCCTTCTCCTCTTCCCGCCATCAGCTCTGAGCTTTTGACCAACCATTTCACAGATGGGGAAACCGAGTCCTGCAGGAGGCAGAGCTTGTGTGTGCATCGCTCAGAGAGGTCTGGGCAGAGCCCAGATGAGGGCATCCCCCATCCATGGCATGTGGCCGGCAGCTTCCTCCCCAGGTCTCCAATTCTCCCCTTCTGATCCATGCTCCCTTCTCTCTACTTCCCTCCCTTCTTTCCTCTCCTCTTCTCTCCAACTGTCCCCCTTCCTTCCTTACCCTGTCTTTGCCTCCTTTGCCCTTCCCTTTCATCCCTCAGCCTAGCCAGCTCCTGCTACTGCCAGGGTGCCTCTCCATCACCTGGGACACATCCTTTCCTCCCTCCTGATGTTGCGCCTTCTGCCCACCGATGCCCAACAGCACAGAGCCGACTGCTATTTCAGACACACCCAAGACTCACACAGGAGCAGGGACCTTCCAGCTCTCAAACTAGGGCTAGCTGGTTTTCAAAGACACAGGCACAAATGTATGTACCTAACATACAAGCACATGCACACACCATTCCAACACACATAGATGTACTCATACCTACTGCCTTAAAGAACCACTTCCCACAGATGCTCATTCCCACAGGCACATGGGCACACAGACACAGGCCGAAGAGTCAGAACTCCCCTTGGCAAAACACACTTTTCAAAGCACTTTTACATTCACCATCAGAGGCTATGCCCACACACCTTCCCTCACCCCATCCTCTATGCTTCCCCTTCTCAGTCCTGCACAGGCACTCCAAGAGACCCCAGGACTCAGCTAGCTAGAACAAGGAAAGCAAAGTTAGACTGAGGACAGATAGTGGAGGACCCTCAATGGTGGAGGGTTGTCCTAGAGGTGGTGGCAGAATCAGAGTACTGGTGAGCTGGAGAGGCTTGATCAGAGAGCTGAGCTGTAGGGAGAATCACTCTGGAGGCCAGTATGGAGCAGGACCTGGGGGTAGAAGCAGGGAGGCAAGTGAGGAGGTTAGGCAGGGTCCAGAGAACAGATGATGAGGCTGACCTAGGACAGTGGCAGTGGGAACGGAGAAGAGTGAATGATGAGAGACTGGTGGGGGAAGACACAAAGAGAACTTAGCTTATTGCTTGCGGGGTACTTCCTAGAAGAGCTTTCTGAACAGAGTGGCGAGAAAGGTGATGATGGCAGAGAAGCAGGTATCTGAGGGAAGGAGGAGACAATGCACAGAGCTCTAGGCATGCTAAGCTCTCTCTAGGATGGTGATGGGGTGGAGATTGGATGCATACAGACAGACAGGCAGGAACATCGGTGGAGGCTGAAGATTGAAGGGCAGGTGTGGGGGTGGCCCCCAGAATTCGCTGTGGCCCTCAAACAGGAGTTTCCACCCAGAAAGAGGAAAGAGCATTGAACATTGAAAGATTGCACAGAGCTGAAAGTGTGGCTTGGCTTGCAAGGGCCTAAACTCAGAGACCTTTTCCTGGAGGCTTCTGGAGCCACTTTGAGATCTGGTCTCTAGCCTGGAAAACAGGCTCTCTGGTCAGTGCTTCAAAAGGAGCCAGAGGGAGGCTGGGTGACTCTAACAGGAGAGGCGGGGTGTGGAGATGGCAGTGCCCCCACCCCCACTTAAGCCTTATTTAAGGCCGGCCTCGGTGTTTGGTTGGGTAATGAACTAGATAAACAATTCCCCAAATAGATTAAAACGAAGTGTAACTTACAAAGGCGGCTGGTGATGATGGTTTATTCCCGGGCAGCACACCATTTCTTTATTTCCAAGGATAATTCAGTGTAAATCACCTTAATTAAAAGTGTCAGCCCAGCCCATGAATATTGTACTTAGGAACGCGTTTCCTGGGTCCCAGTTATAATTTAAAACCCATGGATCACTAGGCAGCGAGTGACTGAGAAGGGAGGAAATCGTTGGGGGCAGGCTGTGGAAACAGGGAGGCAGAGCAGAGTGGATGGGCTGGGCGGGAGCCTGGCTGCCTGTGGCTTGGTGCTCAGACCTCTCCTCTCCAAGGTGGGCCTTTCACCAGACTCCTGTCTCTGGGGGTCCAAGCACACTTGGAGGTGATCAGGTTGTTGGAGGAAAAGTAGGGCAGGGGGCACTTGCTCAGACAGAGGGAAGAAGTCTGGAGTAGTACTAGCCCAACTTGAGGGAAGAGGATTGCCAGGAAAAGATCCAGAGGATTGGCAAAAGGAAAGGCTGGATGTTCTGGCCCTAAAATGTCTCCATTTCTAGTCACCAGCAGAATAAACTAAAGCCCAGAGTCAGCAGGACCCTCTCCAAAGTGGAGAGAGAAACAACTCAGAGCTCCGCCCTCCATTCTCACCCCTGTGTGTCTTTAGGAGGCAGTGTGACCAACTGAAATGCAGTACTCTGGACTTGGTCAGACATGAACTCAAGTCCCAAATCCTCCACGAACTGTGGGAGCAGACAAGTGTCACTTAGCCTCTGTTAGTAACTTTGTAAAGTTTTTGTGAAGATTAAAGAGAAGACACATATAAAGTTCCTAGCCCATGCCTGTCACGTGTGGCGAGCACATAGTAATTGTTCATTCTTTCCTCCTCTGTTCCACCCTGATCCGGCTTGGATAATACTCAGGCCTCAGTCCAGGGGTCCAGCAAGAACAGCATCATAAGTAGATGCCTCGTTTCTATACCTGAAGGTCCAGGAACGGGGACAGCACAACAGTCATGTCAGCACTTGTTGACTGAATGAGGCAGATATAAAAGTAATGAACTCATACCTAGTGGCTCCTCCAGAGCAGCTCAGTCCCTTTCTGTATCCCTGGTGCCTGGATCAGGGCCTGGCAGGGAGCAGGAACACGGGGACCATTTGTGAACAAAATGCCATGGAATAGAACCCGGTCTGGTGGTCCTTCCTGGTCTATTATGCCCCTACCACGTGATCATACAGGCAGACAGTTGTTTTTACACTCAGACCTTGGCCTCACCCTGCTGCCGAGCCTAGTGGCCCCTGCACGGTGAGGTACGAGTTGGCCTGCTTGGGTGCACGAGTGTCAGGTATGTGTCAGCATGCGTAGGTGCGTGCTTGTGTGGACATAGGCACATGAGCAGCTCTTCATTCAGGTCTGTGACAGCTGTGAATGTGTCTTTAAGAACATGTCTCTGGGAACAGGACTCTGCCTGCACCTCTGCGTGCATGTGTGAGCCTCCGGGTGTGACCACATGTGGACAGAATTATAGAGACAATGGATATGTATCTGTCTTTACACCAGGGTTTCTCAACCTCAGGACTACTGACATTTGGGGCCAGATAATTCTTTGTTGTGACAGGCTGTCCAGTACCTTGTAGGACGGTAAATCTCCTCTACCCACCAGACACCAGTAGAAAACTCCCCACCCCCAATTGTGACAATCAAAAATGTCTCCAGACATTGCCAACTGTCCCCTGGGGGGCAAAACGGCCCTGGGTGAGAACTCTTACTTTATCCAAATCTGCCTATGCCTTTGCTCACATATTAGGTGTGTCTATGCCTGACCCTGGAGGTGTTCCCTGTGTATACACCACCTATGTGTGCCCCATGTATCTGCCTTGGGTGTGTGTCTTTTGTGCTTTATGGATGTCTCTTAGACGTGCTATACCTGTACAGCTTATATGTGTGTCTGTGTGGGGACCCTGTGTGAATGGCTCTATCTCCTCCTGCATGTATCAGCCAGCGCGTCTGTGTGCATGTGTTTATGTGTGACAGCACGTGTGTGAATGTGTGAGCACAGATGTGGTGAGCATAGTGGGGGCAGCAGGGTGGGAGGGACAGGAACAGGGATATTAATGTTTCTGAAGTGGATCTGATTTGATACGTCTTGTTCCATTGTCAGCATCTGTTTAGTGGGGATTTGTAATACTTTGTGGCTCTGGATCACTCATGCTTAGCGCGGGATGTGGCCTTGCATACCAATTTTGTTATTAAACACAGTCCTCGCCTCCCCCACAGCCCATCCATCACCCCCCCCCGCCCCCACCCCCCCTGCTTCAAGCCGCCCACCATATTTCAGGGCCCAGCTCCCGCCCGCCTGCCGCGCCCGATGCCGGAGGGCCTGGGGCTGACAAATTGAATCAGGGGGAGATCATTCCTGGCCTAACGCAGTTTGCAGCATGTTGGAGGGAGAATTGACAAGAGCCATGTCAGCTCCATCACCCCAATCCCATAGGAGCTAACAGCAGGCTGGGGACAGGGGGTAGAGGGAGGGGGCATCCAGGACAGGCAGAATCCTCAGAGCTGATGCGAGGAGTCAGGTAAAGCCCCTTTCCTCAGATCCACAAGGGAGCCTACCATGCCTAGTGCCTGTACTTTCGCCCAGAGCCAGCTCTGGCCCTTGGCCCCTGCTGGGAGGCTGAGCTAGGCAGGGCCCGCTGGGGTTGAATGGCCGGCTGGGTGGAGCTTGGCTGAGCTGGGCTGGGCTAGGCTGTCTATGTCTTCTCTCTTTGGGGTCTTCTTGCTATTCTACTCTACTTCTGCTGCCCTGGGCAGCAGGTGGAATGGTCACCCTGTTCTCTTCTTCCTTGGCAGCAAGAATTCCCTTCTGAAGGATGCCATGGCACCAGGCACCCCCAAGGTAGGTGGACCATTGTGTGTTTTCCTCCTACACCTCCTGACCTGGGCCCACCCAGAACTGGTTCCTCTTGAGAAAAGGAGCTCTTCCTGGATTCCAACTGTCTCCAGGGTTTGATCATCAGCCTGAGGCCCGGGGCTGCCCTGTATGCTGGAGTACGTGTGTGAGTGTAGTCTGAGCGTGAGCTGGAGGATGTTCATCTGACTTCCTCCTCTTCCAGTCAGGACGGGGTCAAAGCCGAGAATGACCTGGGAAAGTGGGAGACGCAGACACTAAGGCTGGGGAGTCTCAAGGGAGGAAGGCAAGCTGCAGCAGGTAAAGAAAAATACAGAAATGCAGGTCAAGACAGATGGTGCAGGGCCTCAGAAGCTAGACCCTGGTCGGGGAGGGGGGGACGCGCACACGCACGTGAGCGCACACGCACACATGTCCTTTGTCCTGAGGACAGCAGGGAGCCAGGGAGGATGCTAGGCTCATTTGGGGAGACAGTTTGAACCTCTGTACAGACACTATGGAAGAGAGGCTTAAAAGCATCAGATGGAGAAAGGAAAAATGAAGGGCAAGTGGCTCAAAGGAGGGGCCAGAGGCCTCAGCACAATGGCATGACTTGCATCAAGAACTCCCATAGGTAGCTGCAGAGGCACACAGTACTGTCCCCTTTGGGGATGCATTTTGAGGGAGTGGGGACCTAGGGAGGAAGACTAAACCCTCACTCACTGAGTGTCCTCTCTCCTACCCCTCGGTAAGGTAGAATCCTTTTTTTTTTTTTAATGGAGGTACTGGGCATTGAACCCAGGACCTCATGCACACTAGGCATGTGTTCTACCATTGAGCTATACCTACCCCTCAGCTGGCATCATTTTTTTTTAATAAGTTCTCACAATGACTCATAAAGGCAGGAATCCCCAGCCCTTTCTATAGGGAGTGAGGAATGAGGATTGAAGCTTCAAGAATGGATGAAATCAGTCAGGGAGTGTATATGGAGAGATGAAAGCAGAAGCCAAGAACACAATCTGGAGACTGCTACACTGGGGGTCAAGAGAAGGTACCGGAGCCAGGGACAGGGCAGAGGAGGACAGTCACAGGTGAGGAGAGGTGCAGGAGAGCATGGTCTCCCAGGTTCTTAAGGGAAAAATGTTCCAAAATGTCTGGGGTGGTCAGCCATCAAATAGAAAAAAGCTGGAGTAGGAGGCTATTGTATTTAGAAGTCTCAAAGGCACTGGTGACCTCTGAGAGGGCAGCTTGGGGAAAAAGGAGCCAGAGTGACAATATTACCTACAGGGGTTGGCCCATCTCCCCTGTAGGCCTTTAAAATGGGTAGGAGTGGACATCACTTCCATTCAGGAAATTGCTCAACATAGCAAGCTGGACAGAGGGGCAAGGAACCTAGCCCAGCCCTAGACTGATGCAGGCCCTGGCCAAGGAAGCAATGCTCTCCCAGCCCTAAAGAGAAAGGGTTGGGAGGAGAAGGGGAGCCACACTTGATGAACCCAGTCCAGCCTGCAGCATTCAATGGCTGCACTTACGGCAGGCAGGTCATGGATGAGCTGCCAGGTCAGCCTCAACCACTGACGCCTGACACCTGAGCATGGCTGGCAGGGCTGGGGACTGGACCCCAGTGAGGTTTGTGTTCAAAGGACAAACCCAGACACAATCTATGTCCATGCCTGGTTCCCCACATACACAGATGCACACACACCCCCCAGTCAGAATATGCACACAGGAAATCTTAAACATGTGCAGATTCCTACAACCACTAACATGGGCTTATTAATGGTAAGACTCAGAGGCAACCTGTTCACCTGCTTCTAGATGCATGCTCATGCGCCCAATGCTGACCGTTTCAGGGTCTGGCCTTTGCCTTGACCGGGGCTTTAGGGAAGCAGGTCATGGGGGGAAGAGGCATGAGGTAGAAGAGGTTCGAGCAGGAGCCTGAGAGGACAGGGAGAAGGAGGGAGGGAGGAGGAGGAGAGGGCGAGGGGGCCTTAGACAAGATTGATGGCCTCGTTGCCATTAAGAAAAAAATTAGCCGGTGGCGGCTATCATATTAAAGGGTGAAGAAGCCGTGAATTATTTTCTTAAAGATCTTATCGCTTACAATGATAATTTTACCTTCCAAAAGGCCACTTTTAATGAGGCGAAGAGCCAGGCAAAAAGTCATGATTTAATGCCGGGATTTTTTTTTCAAAACACATTTTACTGCTTTTTGGTCCATGTTTAAAAAGCGCCAGTGACCTTTTTTTATTCCACTTGCCCCAGGTGTAATGCTGAGGCCTCTAAGGGCTTCGAACCTAGAGAGAAAGAGAGAGAGAGAGAGAGTGAGAGCAAGAGAGAGTGAGAGCGAGAGCGAGCGAGCGAGCACACAAGAGTGAGCGTTCTCATGGTGGGGGTGGGGGGCCCACGTTGTTTCCCACCCCCAGCATCCTCCTTGGGACCAGAGAAGGACATTGCCTGAAAGCCCACCTCTTTTCTGAGCCAGGGGCCAAGGCACCCACTTGGCCTCCCACTGGGCCTGGGTGGGTGAAGAAGGGGCTCCAAGTTGCAGGGAACCCCACCCAAGGCCCTTCTGGGCCTCTTCCCTCCTCCAGCTCTTGGGATAAGGCCGAGTCAGGGAGCCCTGCCAGACCAGCAGCTGCCCTCTCCCTTCCCAGGGCCCTTGCCTGAGGATGTGCAGCATGGCCACCGCATGCGGGTCACATCCTATGGCTCAGTCGGAGATGAAGGATAAATGGCTGCTCCATCTTTCCCAAATTGCTTTCTTTGGGCTGTCACTGGCGATTTGGCATGGTTTTCTAGGCTGGGGAAGCCTCCTAGGGAATTGTACGTTTCCGGCTCAGAGCTGTGCAGGCAGAAGGTGGCGGGGGAGGAAGTATGGATTGCTTTCAGGCCTCCAGGCCCCCAGTATGCAGCTGAACAGGCCTTGGCAAGAGCCAGCAAAAGCAGGCTAAACGTGCCATGTAGTATTTAGAACTGTGGTGCTTACGCACAATTTAAAGCAGACAGTTTATTAATCTAAACTGCGGGCGTATGTAGAAGAGGCCGTGCAGGATTGACATGGGGGGATTAGTTTTGCTGGGGTTTTTGCTGGGGTCATCGCCACAGCGCAGGGATAAATGGAGCCAGCGTACATCCCTCGCTGCACGAAGCAAACTCATACATACTATTTAATTTACTGTCTCCATAGCGGGGCTGCCACCATCCTGTATAAGGAGCAGGTAGGGCAGCAGGGACGTGACTTTACCTCCAACCCCTCAGGGGGGTCCCAGAGTAACTTACTACAGGAAAACAGAGCATGTACCCTCTCAGCCCACTGGGAGGCCTGCCCCACCAGGACAGAGACTAGCTGGGGTAAAGGAGGTTTGGCCCCTCTCAGTGGTCTCCACTCATCCCTAGAATCAAGCCATCCTCTCCCACAGCCAGACTCCCAGGGCCTGACCACATGCCTTCAGAATCTCAAGCGTGGTCTCTCTACCCCTCTGCCCTCCTTCTCTCTACCTCTCCCCCAAAAGTTTCCTAGGACTGGACACCCTAGGGGACTCATTGTAGGTCTCATTCAGCCTGAGGCCACGTGTCCTTTTTCTTCTTCCAGTCCCTCTTGTTGTCTGCTTCCATCAAGAGGGAAGGAGAGTCTCCGACAGCGTCACCACATTCGTCTGCCACCGATGACCTGCACCACTCAGACAGATACCAGGTGAGGAGGGGTGGGCTGGGCATAAGAAGTAAGCTCACTTGGATGAGAGTTTAGAGGGCAGGCCCCGTGCAAACTCCTCCCCTCCTTGGGGAGCATGGAGAGAGGACTTAATTGGCTTTGGTTCGCACTTTGTCTAGTGTCCCTAACTGAACCCAGAAGGCACAGGTGTCAACAGATGTGCCTTAAATAGATGATTTTAGGGGGAGATGCCAGGGTCACCTGGGCTCAGGTGGGCTCTTCTGAAGCATCCTAGCCATCAGGAGGTCTCCTAAAGGGTTTGGTTTCATCAGGGAACCAGGGACATAGCCCAGAATTACCTGAAGACTTCACACTTCAAAACTAGGATCCCCTGTGCAAATAACCATCAGTCCTGCCAAACCCTGGTGTCAGGCCCAGTGAGAGAGGCAGACATTTCCTTTGAGTGCCTTAGGCAAACACAATCCTAAAACATCAGAGCAGAAGGGGGAGCTTAGGGTAACATCCTAGCTCATATAGAATTTCTCTGTGGTAGGAAGGAGAAAGAATGTCCCCAGAAGTTCCTCTGTCTGAGGAGAGACAGAGCCCTGCCTTCAGGAGCCCCAGTCAGAGGGCAGAAAACAGGGCCTGTTCCAAGGAACGTTTGTCTAAAAGACAGTGGGACTTCTCAGGGAGCCCCAGTGTGAAAAGGGAAACACAGCCCTAAGAAGCCCTGATCTGATGCAAAGAGAGAAGACAGCAGGGACCTATAATCTGGGGTAGAGAACCAGGGTCACTGCTGGCACACGGGAAGCCTTTCTTGGAACTCGAGGTGTTCTCTTTGGGTACACCTTCCTCCCAGCTGACACAGCCTGGAGTCAGGGTGCAGAGCTTGGCGAGCGGAATACTGAATGTGGGCTGCACACCAGTCTCCACCAGCACCTTCTCTGCTGGATGCCTCTGTATAGGACTCAAACTGCAGAGGCCAAGGTGCCAGCCCCAGGGAGGGATTCCTGCTCCCATGAGCCCTGTTTTGAGAAAGGCAGTCAGTCCTCTCCCAGGCAATCCTGATTCGAGATGGAGAAATGACCCAACTCTAGGGAATTCTGGTCTGATAGGGAGACAGGGCTCTGTCCCAGAGAATTCTACTCCAAAGGGATGGACAGAGCCCTGACTTCGGAGGCCCATCCTCTTTACTTCAGCCATAGCATTCAGCCCCATATCTGTTGAACTAGGAAGAATAACCATAAGGCACAGGCATGGCATGCTAAGGCACGGCACCAAGGCCTTCTGTGATTTAGATTCAACCCGTATCTCCATCCTCCATTCCTAATACCACCCTCCATAAATCCTGTGGTCTGTACTCACCAAATCTATGCTAACCACTCCCTGGCTGTGCCATTCCTTTCTTGCCTGAGTTTTTGCACATGTTGTTTCTTCTAATGGGACTATTTTACCCCACCCCATCAAAGTTCTATTTATCCTTCAGCAACCTGCCCAAATCCCTTCTCTCCTCCAGGAAGCCTTTCTGGGTTAGCTTTCTCTTCTCATGACCCCTGCATGTCCCTGTACTTGCTCTGATCATCTGATATTGTGATCACCCATTTAAATATGTTTCCATTCTCTACTGATATATAACAAACCATCCCCAACCTTAGCAGCTTAGTACAACTTGTTATGTCTCATGATTCTGTCTATTGACAAGGCCTTTCCTAATTCAAACATCTCATTCAGTTGGAGGACTAGCTGGGCTGGGAAGTCCAAAATGGCCTCACTACATGTCCAGATTAGGGACCTTGGTTCTCTTCCACGTGGCCTCCCATCCTCCAGTAGGTTATGTTAGCTTCCTTACTTGGCAGTGTCAGGGCAGTGTCACGCCAAGAGGGTGAAGGCCAAAGCTGCATAGCCTTTTGAGTCCTAGACTCTGGAGCTCACATGTCACTTGGCAAAGCAAGTCATAAAGCTAACCCATAATCAAGGGATGAGGAAATACAGCTCTTAATAGGAGGAGCTGCAAAGAATTATGGCTATGTTTAATTTATCATGATGAGCCTGACTCTTGCACTAGACTTGGGGGCTCTCCAAGGCAAGAACACTGTCTTATCCTTCTTTACGCCCTTCCTTTATTCAGACATTTAGCTAGTGCTCACTCATGCTCAGCCCAGTGTCCTTGCCTTCAAGGGTTTAGATCTGCAAATAGATAAATTATAGCCCAGTGTATTAAGTGCTATGATAGGGGTATAAGTAAGTTTCTAAGACAGCACAGTGGAAAAGCAGAGCAAGCTTCACAGAGGTAATGACTGAACAGGGTTTCAGAGGATGAGCAGGAGTTCACCTTGGTCAACAAGGAGGAAAAAATATTCCAGACGAAGGCAACACTGTATGCAAAGGGCACAGAGGTGTAACAAAGAATGATGTCTTTGGGGACCTGCTAGCAGTTCAATTCTGTTAGAATGCAAAACACAAGGGGAAATTGGTAGAAGGTGAAGCTGGAATCCCCTGATCATTACACGATGCTTGGCACGTAGTAGTTGCTCAAGTTATGTTGGTTTTTTTTTAATCATCAAACTAGGCCTGGAAATCAGGGAGTATTGGTTTCTGGTTTGGATTCCCATTTACTTAGCCCCTGCTGGGTTACCTAACCCTCTTAACCATTACCTCACTTTATCCTCATAGCAACTGTGCAAGCTAGGATTCATTGTCCCCAATTTGTTGCTAAGGAAACAGGCCTAGAGAGAGGAAGTAACTTTTCTAAAAACACATATATCATGAGTAACCCAGTCAGGATTTGAACTTGAGTCTGTTTGGCCCTGAATCAGACTGTTTCACAGCCTTACACTTGGCTCAGGGGCTTCCCTCACAAGTATCCTCCTCCCCTTCCCACTGATTTCTCCAGCATGTGAGATCTTGTGCTGGGTAACTTCCAAGATACTCAACAATCAAGATATCCAAGATCAAAGGGAAGCCAAGGGACTGTGAAAACTCAGAGGGAGCAACTAACCCAACATTGGGGGAAAAGGGAAGCCTTCCCAGAGTCCTGAAGGATGAAAAACAGTTAACCAAGCAGAGGATATGGGGGCATGGAGGATAGCCTAACCCAGCGTCCAGAGCATGGAGTGCTCAGAGAGCTACAGATAGCTTGCAAGGCAAGACAACGTCCTTGCCTTGGACACTGCGAGTGTCAGGAGGGCAAAAGAGACAGGAGGGGTAGAAGAAGAGTCTGGAGAAGTAGGCAGAGCAGGTCAGAGAAGGTGTGTATGCCATGTTGCAGATCTTCTGGGTGGAGAACCCGAGAAGGGTTTAAAGGGGGAGGGGGAGCAAGGGTCAGTTTTGCACAATACAAAGATCACACTGCATGTAGTGAGCAGGATGTGTTACAGGGAGAGAAGCCCGAGATCAGAAGGCCAGATAGAAGACAGCTGCAGATTCAGAGAGCTTGAACTAGAGCAGTGACATCCAAGATAGGTAGAGCCAGTGAAAAAACACACGGGGATTTCTTGGCTATGCCAAGGGCAGTGCAGGGCTCTGGGTTCACCCATATGACTCACACATGGCCCCGTCCCTGGAGTGGTCAGCCCAGCGATAAAAATTTGTATGAGCCATACTGTGAGTAGAGATGGAAGTACTTCAACGGGAGAAAAAGGTATTTTTCGGTTAGGCCTGGAAGGATGAGTAGGAGACACACAGAGGTGCAGATGAGATTTAAGAGTCTTTTAAAGTTAGACTCTGAAATGAGAGGATTGAGTGTCAGTAACTGAAGGCGGGTGGGGTCAAGGAAGACTCACTCTCAAGTTCCTGGAGTGAGCACACCTGAGAGGATGGTGGTTTCCCGTTAGGAACTGAGAATCCTGGAAGAAGGCGTCTGTTTGAGGGATCCTGAGTTCCACTTTGGCCGCGTGGGTGTGCGATGCCTGTGGCAGCTCCAGGGGATGTCCAGGAGACAGCTGAAATGTTGGGAATCCTCTAATAGCGAGACTGCTAAAAGGCTAGGGACTGGGGGCGGGGCAGTCAGGACTGGCAGTGGGATGGCCCGTGGCGATCGGGAATTCCTACGCCTCCTCCCCAGACTAGGGTAGCGGCGCGGGAGGCGGGAGCCGGGCGGGGCTCCGGGCGGAAGGAGCCCTGCGTTGGGAGGGGGCGTGGAGTGGGATGGGAGGACCTCCCAGCCACTAAAACTGGGGCGGGTTGGCTTTGAGGGAGGTGGGAGGGACCCCAGGGCGGCCCCAGCCGGTTGCTGCCGGAGTGCGAGCTGCTGTTTCCTGGCCCCAGGCCGGCAGCGCCCCCACTTCTTGAACTTTCACCCTCGGCGCGCGACGGCAGCGGATCACGTGATCAGGGCCAACATGGCCGCCGCCGCCGCTGGGAGCTGAGGTGCCGCCGCCGCCGGGCAGCCGG